GTGTTGGATTTGAACAACTGACAAAAGTGAAAAAAAAGTCACATTAGCAAAAAATAAAAAAGAATTAAAGTACAAAAAAGTTTAAATTTGTTGTAAAATAACTAAAGAGGCAAACATTTGCAGAAAAACAGCTAAAATATAACTGAAAGTTCTGAAATTAGAAAAAATAGCAGGAGCATGTTTACTGAATTAAGGAGAAAGAAGCCAAAACAGCCGACAAAATGTGAATTTGGCTTGAAAAAAAAAAACCAAACAAACAAATTTTAACTAAAAGTAGCTAAACAATAGCCAAAATTGCAAATGACAGCTGAAATTAGCAGAAAGAAGCACAAAAAGTAGACAACGAACAGCAGAAAGAAGCAGAGTGATAGAAAAGTTTAAATTAGCAACAACAAGAAGCTAAAATTAGTACAAAGAAGTTGAAAAAAGCAGAACGAGAACAAAACGTGTAAAGTGCAGTAAATATTTTGAAACATTTCAAAGTTGTTGAAAACAGTGCCATTCATTTTCAGTGACAGCCAAATTGTCAGAAAAAGTGGAATAGCTAAAAAAAAGTATAAATAGCTAAAATACCATGAAACGTCCAGAATGTTCTGACGGAGCTCAACAGTTTGGTTTATGAATTGTTGAAACAGCACAAATATTGTGGAACAATAAAACACAGACAGAATATTTCAGGTACCCAGAAATAAATGACAGAGAAACACAAAAACAACAGTGTGAAAGCTTAATATAACATTCACACAACTAGAAATAAATATACATATTCTGAGTGAAAAAAATCCTTCAGAATCACTTTCATGTCAGAACACAGACGCGTCGTCGTAAAGGTTTATTTTATAAATCTGTTTTCTTTTGCGAGTTGTGGTTTTGTTTGTTTTCTGACATTGTGTTGATTTTCTGTCGCTGCAGTCTTTAAGCAAACATGTACTTTAATCAACTTGTGTTTGCTATCTGATCGGGGGCCGTGAATCCCTCGGTGGGGTGTGAAATTTGATTAGGGTAATTGGCAATCATTGGTTGATGTACAGTCTATTGTGTACTCTGCTGCACTCAGAATATAAAGACTAACACTGACAGACACATGCACACAAGAAACATTGCCTCATTTATTTAAAACTGTTATTTTTTCCTAAAGTTAATCATTCATGCTGCTCCTGCCCGTCCCAAGGAAATAATTCTGACTTTAGATGATTATGAAAGGTGAAGATTATGTTTTTGCTTGTGTTTGTAGGATCATTTGTACTGTTAGCAAAATATTACGGTGTGCCAAGAAGTGTAAAATAAAATGAAAACACATTTTCATTATTTAGCTCAGTTTCCAAGTGTAAAAAAAATTCCACTAACATTTTCTTATTTGGTTATCAATGTAAAAATCTAAATGTATATGTTCAATTTTAAATGTTGAAATAGCAACTCCTAATGCTGCTAACACTGCTAATGCTGCTAATGCTGCTAATGCTGCTAACACTGCTAACCCTGCTAATGCTGCTAATGCTGCTAACACTGCTAATGCTGCTAATGCTGCTAATGCTGCTAACACTGCTAATGCTGCTAATGCTGCTAATGCTGCTAACACTGCTAATGCTGCTAATGCTGCTAATGCTGCTAACACTGCTAATGCTGCTAATGCTGCTAATGCTGCTAACACTGCTAATGCTGCTAATGCTGCTAATGCTGCTAACACTGCTAATGCTGCTAATGCTGCTAATGCTGCTAACACTGCTAATGCTGCTAATGCTGC